AGTGACTGTAGGAAGGCCTGTGACACAGCAGCAGTCATTAAACACAACTGTGTCAGCATCTGCAGACCAGGTTGGCCTGACTTCAATGTCCGGGTTTGGACACAATTCTCATGCCAGTCCTGTCCACCCTGTAGTTTCTTCACAGCCACAGCTGCAGCAGGCACAGATGCAAATCCCACAGGATCTGGTTATGAAGCTACTTCAAGTGCAGCAGGTATGTTAGTTTCGTCCAGTGTTTTAGTATCAGTGGTGTTTTTTTAGTGCATGACAAACATAAGGTGGAAAATTCTTATTTTGTAATATCTGTTACTGGCTAGTGCAACATAGTATTTGAAAAAATGATGAGGGAGAGATGTGAAGGAAAGAAAGTTGGTCAGAAAACCAGAAGGGAAGACTCTACTTGGGAGTCCTTGACAGAGATGGAAGGAACAGAAAATATGAATCTTAAAGAGATGGAATATGATGCTGTTTAATTATATTAGTCAGGCTCAAGGTAGGATCGAGTGGCAGGCTGATATGAACATGGTAATGAACCTTTTGGTTTGATAAAGGGCAGACATCTTCCCTGAGATGGGGACCATACTCGATCAAGAGAAAACTGAAATTCATTGACAGCCATTTGGTGATATAGGAAAAGTATAGTACAAGATAACATATTTAACCAAATTGTATTTTTTCTGTCTTCGTTAAATATATACATTTTGAATATCACTGGAGATTGTTATAATTGTTTCACTGTAATGATGGAATGTAACATCTGTTGTATGATTCAAATTACTTTTCTGTTCACTTAGCAGCAACAGCAGCGTCAGCAGCAGCAAGAAATGCTGAACAAATTGCTTGTATCAAGCCAACAACAGCAAAAACAGAACCAAGCCACATCTCGCCTTGGTCATGTGCCTGTTGCAGTATCTGTACCCACCCAGTTCCAAGTACCACCTCCTCCGTCATTGTCTCCATTGCCGCCTGAACTTCAGTTGATGATAACCAATGCTCAGCCTAGTAGGGAATTACTACAAAGACCAGAAGCACAGGCCATTATTCAAGGTATGGTAACATTTCAGGTATATGAGATACATTATACATTTCAGGATATTAGAATTAATTTTAATCAATTATATATTTTTACATTGATTTTAAGAAGATAGTGTGGGGGAGTGATCTAGATCCATCTGGTTCAGAATAGGATACAGGGGTGAGCTGTTGTGAACCCTGTAATGAACCTTCAGACTCTTTAAAAGATGGGAAATTTCTTCACCAGTTGAGTGACTTAGCAGTTCATGAACACAACTCATGGAGTTACACAGTTACATGAAGTAATTTTTCACACAAAAGTTGCATTTTTTAATAATTATACAATTTTCTTATCAGAATTATTCTATTCAGGTAAATATTTGATGGTGGAAACAGTTTATGAGGCTAAGATAGACATGAGCATTCAACAACAAAGGAACTCAAAGAAAGAATATCAGAATGATCATATGAATTTATTGAGATACCTAATAAGGTGTGAGTTTATCATTTGAATATGGTTGTCATGTAATGTGTGTTTAATGTAGTACAAAGAAAGAGTAATTTATAACTTAACAGGCTTTTTATTTATTTTCTAAAAGGCAAATTGTAACCTTTCTCAGGCGATCTCTTCATTGCTGAACATCTATCAGTCTATAAATATGTTCTGTCATCTTTGTAACAGAAAGACAAAAATTGTTTTTAGGGTTGAAGCATGGTGAGATCACATCCCAACATTTGGTACAACAGTTGCAGAATCCGGCAATGCAACATCGCCACAGAGAGGTTCTTGTTAGCATCTTGAAGTTGCAGCTGCAGCCAGGTAAAATTTAGTGTTGGAAGAGCAAATCTAGCACTTGTGCTTGAATCGGATTAACATTTAACTTACACAAAACCCATATGCTGGGCTTTGTGTATTTCTGTTCTGATACTTTGCTCAGCAGAACAAATAGCAGAATACATGCAATTTTCTTTTACATAACTGTTTGATGAAATTTTTTGTGGCTTCAGAACCTACCGACGGTTCTCAATGCGTCAGAGCTTGTATTTTTTATGGTGCACTTGAAGACACCAATGCACAACCCCACGTAACACTCCCTGCATTTTATTTGTGCTTTCTTTTGTATCCCTTGTTCACTTTGGAGGAATGAATTGGCCAATGATTACTGAAATTTAGATCGAGTTAAGTAAGTTTTCTCTCTGTGGCAGCTGGTCTGCCAACAGGATGACAGAAATTAGGTAAACTCTTAGCATTTTAAATTAAGTTTAACGTGATAAATAGTCAAATGTGTGGAGGAGGTAACTGTTTATAATAGTAATTTCTAAGAGTTGGAAGAAAAGGTTTTTGTCCAATTCTATGTGCGCCATTGGATTGAGTGTCTGTTTTTTATTCTATCTCCTTTGCCAAAATATCCCATATGTTGATTATAGTCCTGTACAATTTGTAGCTTCAGGATATTATGCATGTTTGTCTCAAAGTTACCGTCTGTTGCTGGTAGATTGTGCATATTTGTCAGCACATACATGTCATATATACCTCTGCAGACCATTGCTGTCAAGTCATGTCATTTCAGTTTGTTTGGTCATGACATGTGTCATTCCCATTCTCTGAGGTCATAGTGTTCCTGTAACCTATGTTGTCTTATCTGTGGTCACTCATGTTCTGTCCTTCCCTAAGGGCTTTAATGTCATATGTGTAAGCAGTTTTGTCACACAACTTGTAAAGTTTGATACCAAAATATTTGTTTTGTCTGAAATTTATCCTTTCTTTAGGAGTATTCTGCTTTTTTCACAGCTGGATATGAGACAAGAATTTTTAAAAATTGTGAGCATTGAGATGAGAAAGAATTTTCTCTACTAGACCAGTGTTTTATTGTAATCTCAATTTGTAATGTAATTTTTGCACAATGCATTACCACGTGTCCCTTTTGATACCATATCCTTTTTCAGTAAAATTTAACATAAATCATTGCATTTAAAAACACTTACTTCTAAGGCTATATCCTTTTTTTAACCATTTGTTAATCTTCAGTGATTCAATACAAGTTTTAGGTCCTGTCTCACAGTTTGTTGAAAATTTGCCTCAGACATTGGTTAGTAAGAACATGTAATATTTTTGATCTTTGTCATAACTTATGTGGATGTCACTGTAGTTGTCTGTACTGATACATATTTATTTGTGGCAGAATAATCTTCAAAAGTTAGGAAACATTTATGGTAGGAAACTATATTCAGTGTCGTATGCTTGTGTGTACCGGTATTTCAAGATACAGTGGATCCCCTTATTTACACTTCTATGATTTATAAAAAATGATTTAAATTGCAGGAAATTAAAAATCATAAGCTTGACCCCTAATTTGCATGCTCAGCAGATAATATAGGTAAATTACTAAGCAATGTGTATACATTTTTACAACATATAATTATGAGAAACTAACTAGAAATATACAGTATCATGATGTGAATTAATCATTTGTCAAACACTAGCACCATAAAAGTTTTTTTCCATGAATGTCCATGCTGATTTTTATTTTCTTCAGTGACATGATTTTTGACCATTGACATTCCAAGTTATTTTGCCAAGAAAATGCACTAGTTCTGATGTGGCATGCAGAACTTTTGTTCTTAGGAAATTATGTTTATTTTTTGTCACCATAATACCTTATCAGACATGCGATTAAGTAAAATAACTGCAGGGGAAGCAGCAGGCTCAGCCAACAGATTGTTATGCATTCTTTGCGCAAAGTGCATAGATTTTCAATGAGGGCTTGGACTGGGCTAAAATTGGCGTATATTCTGTGCAGGTGTTTCACCTCGAGCCACTTCCCCTCATCCTCACATGCAGCAGCCAGAACTTCTGCACCAAATGATGTTGCAGCAGCAGCAGCAGCAACAGCAACAGCAGCAGCAGCAGCAGCTCCGTATTCCATCTCCACTGAACAGTGGTAAGCTGGTACTAAGACTAAAGGATACTGGAACAGAATACATGAAGACCTTATTGATTCAGAATCTGAGGGTAGATTTTTGTTAGTTGGCTTTGATTATAAAACTGATTCACTGACAGTAGAACTTTGAAATCCAATGCTGCAACTGTGAAAGCTCTCCACTGGACACTGTTCTGAACCATTTCCATCCATTTCTCACCTTCACAACCAATTTCCCAAAATCAGTCTTAATGTTATCCTCAGTCTCCTCAATCTTCCAGGTGGCTACTGTTCAAGAGGCAGACACCATCATTTCACACAGGTCCTTTGAAAATTCCGATGTTTTGGTTGATGGTGAAGTTGTTGCTGTGTTATCAAACAGAAGTCGTTGCTTGCTTTGATGACTGGTTTGTCGGCTCAAATTATTTTTATGTTTTGCGTATCGCAATGTTATTTCACATTAAATCGCTTACCAGCCGTAACTTTAACTTCACAAAGTTTACAGAACATAATTATTCCATCAGAACTAAAATATTCCTCGCCAAAATCTTTAATTAAACCTCCTAACTTCGCACTTTCAGAACACTTCACTTTCGGCTTCTTAACTAACTGAAGGATTCACTGTAAATGCCTGAGAAATGTAGTTACAAGTAAGAATTTTATACCAAAAATATAACCAAAATATGAATTTTATCCTCAAAATATAACCAAAATATGCATTTTATCCTCAAAATACAACCAAAATATGCATTTAACTACAAATATGACTGAAAACATAAAAATGATAAATATGCATTTATATGCAAAATAAATACAGTCTAATTGTGATTAGAATAACCCAATTAGTGTTTAATTTCAGTTTAGAATGAAAATAGAAGCCCCAATAAAAATATGACATGTCATGATCATCCGAACCCTAATCATAACCTACTGCCTTTCATTATCCAACAATCCTACATTGCTTTAGTAAAGCACATAGTTTCTTGGTATGTAATATTCTAAATTTCTCACTGCGTTATTCTCTCTTAGGTCCATATATTTTTCTAAGGGCATTGTTTTAAAACACTTGTAATTTATGGTCTTTTCAAAGTAGGAGACCAAATTTCATAACCATACAAAACGACAAGTAAAAGTGTTTGTTTGTGTGTGTGTGTGTGTGTGTGTGTGTGTATGTGTATGTGTCTTCATTTCTAATGGTTATGGAAAGTAGATTAAATGAAATAGTTTCTGAAATGTATCATAGCATGCATATCATGAATTTATTTTTCTCTTAATTTCATTCTTGTTGTCTGGATGTATTAAAAAACAAAAACTTTTATAAATGAAGCTGGTTGAATTGTATGTCACACATATTTACTCTAGTTATAAGTAAAGCAGTAAACATAAATTGGGCTCCTTAACTCTATTGCTTCTCAAACCTTGTTCCTTTGAAAGGTCGGAATGACTGAATACAGTTTGAACAATAAACTATTGTTCTGGTGCTTTCAGCCTATTGTCAGCAGCCTCCTGTCATATCTCCTAACTTGGCCAACAATCCCAACAATTTAACAGTTCAGCACACAGGTGAGCTCAGTATGTTTGCATGCTGAGTGTCTGTTGGTGTTCAGTTTTTTGTTTATGATCTTACATTTTATTTTTATGTTTACATGTAATGCAGTATTACTGTATTCTAAGAGGACTTACATGTATTGAATCAAAACTACTTAAATAATAAAATTATTCTTGATTTTGATGGGTCTTACAGGGCAAGTATTTGTTCCTTGTATCTGAAGGTGGAGGCAGAGCCAACCTGTGAAATATTATGTGTAATTTTGTCCGGACAATGAGTAGTGCCCGAAGAAAGTCTCCCATAATGTTACAGAACTTATGAATCATGTACTGACTAACTCATTTTATGTTTTGTTTAGTTAATATATACAGATATTTTAAAGAAAAGTTATAAATCATAAGAAAATTAATATTTTATGCACTATACCCATTTTTTGCACATTGAACTACTTTTTGATGAATTTGTTCAACTTTGTTATAGGCTCATGTTGAGTAGGAAATATATTGGACATATGTGACTTAGTTATGCATTCACTTTATGTACTTTATGCAAAATGCATAGAATGCACAAAAACTAGATTGAGTACTGGGACTAATGGCTGTTGCTTTTTTGCCTAACTCGGTTCATGGATCTGAGTCCTCATTGAGACGCTGGTAATCTGCTCAACTGATCAAATTATCCACCTTATATGGAACCCAGAGCTTCATTACTGTATTCACAAGAGCCTGCAACCAGTTCCTATCCTGAGCCACAGTCCACACCTTCCCATCGTATTTCCACAAGATCAGCTTTAATATAACCCTCCCATATATGCCAAATGTTTCTGAGTGGTCTCATCCCATCTGACTTTCTAACCAAAATTTTGTATGCATTTCTAATCTCCCCCATATATACAATATGTGTCACCCTTCCTCCTTGTTTGCAAAATCTATCTGTCCCCGCTAGTAGATGGCGCTAGTAGCCAGAGAAGCTGATGCACCTATAAACCCACTACTACTACTACTATCTATCTGTCCCCTTTCTCTGTGCATCAGTTAGTGATTTTAGCCACTTGGAGGAAATCTGTTGTCCTTGTTCATAACTTTGAGTGCAATGCTTTGAGTCAGGCATGTACTATCTTTACTGTATATGGACCACACTGGAAAGTACAAACCTCATTGTAGGCTATTTTCAGATGTTGATACCCAGTGGAGTAAATTATGATTATATTCTCTGTATTAAATTTTCCATGTAATTAAATTAATTATAACAGTTACTGTACACACTCATATGTAGGACAGTTTTCACTTACCTACTGTTATGTGGAACTCCTTGTATTTTGTCGAATCAGATGTCCATTGAGTTGTTGGAAAAGGTGACTCATAATTCACTTTTCATATGTTCATTTACATGTCTGCTACTCCCGTCCCCAGCCACCATGTGTTTTCTTGGTAGTTTGACTATGCAGATGCATGGAGCAAGTCTCTTTGAAGCCAACAGTACAGTGTTGTTTTAGTAAAACAAATTACTGTTTAAAAATTCAAGAGCATGCTACACAAACCTAATTATAAAGAAAGCCACCATAGTTTTACAAGTGAAGAAAATATGTTTCATAAGCCTGTCTTAAAGTGTTTCTGAAAGTACTAGCTGTTTTAAATTTGTTGGTAAGAATACTATGTGATATGGGAGAAACCATAGGAAGTAGTACTATAACAGTGGAAAGAATCAGGTGTAATCCCTAGCGATAAAAGCAGATGACAAAACTGAGTGCAGTAACTTCTGCGGTATCTCTCTTTTGTCAACGTTGTACTGGATCCATTTCCAATACACAGTGGCCTAAAATAGGGATGCTTTATCCCCAGTGCTTTTTAATTTTGCTTTAGAACATGTCATCTGGAAGGTTGGAGGGAATCAGGAAGGGCTCGAATTGAATGGTCTGCACCAGTTACTTGTGTATGCTGATGATGTCAGTTTGCTGGGGGATGATGTGGATACCATAACCAAGAATTCAGAAACTCTCGTACAGGCTAGAAGATAAATTGGCCTAGAAGTAAATGTAGACGAAACTAAATACAAGGGCGTAATGCGGGATAAACATCAGCAAAATCGTCGGAACATAATTATAAGTAATACATCATTTGAAAATGTTTCAAAATTTAAGTGTCAGGGAACAACAACAACAAATAGAAATGAGGTCCATGATGAAATTAAGAGTAGAATACATTCGGGGAACACTTGTTTTATTCAATTAAAAAATTATCATCTTGTTTGCTATCCAAAACACTAAAGATCAGGATATATCAAAGAATTCTGCCTGTTGTTTTGTATGGTTGTTAAACATGGTCTCTTACCTTGAAGGAAGAACATAGATTACAAGTGTTTGAAAACAAGGTGCTCAGGAAGATATCTGGATCTAGGGAGGATGGAATAAGTGGGGAATTTGGAATGTTGCATAACGAGGACCTGCATGAAGTGTTCGGATCACCTAGCACAGTGAGGACAGTGAAATCAAGGAGGCTGCAATGGGATGGACATGTAGCATGCATGGGGAGGCAAGGGGTGCATACAGAGTTTTGGTGGGGAATTCTGGAAAATGACCACTGGGCAGACCAAGGAGATGGGAGGATAATATCAAGATGGATCTTAGTTGAGATGGGCTGTGAGGGTGGTAAATGGATAGAGTTGGCTCAGAATCATGGCCGGTGGCAGGCTTTGGTGTTGATGTTGGACCTGTGGGTTCTGCTACAAGGGAATTAGGGGAGAAACCAACATCATAGACATATTTCTATGTTGTCTAAAGATGAAACCTCTGCATGCATTTCTTACAATTAAAAACATGCATAAGAATGCACTGATTTTGGTTGCTTGTGTATGATCAGTTAGTTCATTGTTACTTGGTGGACAGTATTGAAACTGCAAATTTTGTTTTGGGAAACCATTTATAGCTGCTGATAGGAGACTCTTGCGTTACAGTTGTACCACATCGAGTGCCATCACCTCGTGAGCTGATTGTTCACACACAAAACATAATGCAATCAGCACTGATAAAGAAGAAACTGGAGGAACAGCGAGAGAACTTCCGAAAACGCCAAGAAATGCAACAGTAAGTGTTATTAATATCTCTAATGCAATTCCATTCACTTTGTTTAGTACTTTTGAATTCTAACTGGGTTATTAAGTCCCGCGCCGTAGCCGCTCAGTCTGAGGCATTTTGCTTTGGACCGGCGATACAGGATGCGCGCTGGTTCGAGTCTCAGGGGAGAAGAAGTTTTCTCATGAGCTTTCAACCAGTGTATGGGACCGGTGCCAACCTAGCATTGTGACGAAATTGGGGAGCTACAATGAGTAGCGTAATCTGGTCAGGAAAGCTAGCAATGGCTGGTGGTTTGTCGTGCTGACCGCACATCGCCCTATATCTGGTTGGATGTTCGTTCACCACTGCCTAGGCATGTGAACCTGAGGCCAGCAGTCAAGCTAGTCGGCTTTGGCTCTCTGGAGCTGTTACGCCACGGATTTAATTTAATTTAATTTTAATTTAACTGTGTTATTAATTTGAATATGTGAATATGAATGTAACTATCAAAACAGATAGTTCATAAAATTACTAAAGTACAGAAGTGGTAAAATGTATTCCACCGGAGTATACACATTTACCAAATGCCTCTTTTTTATTACCCCCCTTTCAAATTTGTTATATATACGAACCAATTTCTTTGTTTATTTTGTCTTATCCATCTCATCCTTTTGTCACAGAAATAAGTGCTAAAACTTCATAATATAGAGGAAAGAAGTCTGTTGTTGACAGAGAAAATCAATAATGGATGAATTATTTCTCATAGATTTCTCAGATCCATGGCAGTTGAATCTTTTGCAAAGAGATGTTTTCCAATCTGGTATACCTACTACTGTGAGGTCTGACCTCATTGCCAGACCATATCTGACTCAATGAATTATCAGCATAGACACAGTGAAAGGTGACAGAAGGAATACAACATATCAAGCCAAATGTGTTTATGCTGATGAGGCCCAAACAATTCAGAAAAAGACCATTCTCAGTCATAAGACTGGCAGACAGTGCTGTTTTAAGCAGAGCCAGGTCTGACGAAAAGAAAAGGTGAAAGGAAAAGAGGATGAAGTATGTTCACAAACAAAGGAAGGCCATAGATAAAAGTGTGTTTGTCAGAGGGCGCATGGTCCATTGATACATAGCAATTTAATTCATACCTATTGTACCTCCTGCATAGCCTCAAAACATAACAAGATGTGGATATTGAAACCATGTAGTATTTATTTAACATCATATGTAGCTTGAGGGAAACTGTCCATTTAGAGCTCTTGCCAACCATGTGTGCTCGTAGGAATGAAGGACTTTCTTGTTTTTGTGCACTGCTTATATTGAAGGTGGGAAAATTTTTATATTAGCCTTATACGCACACAAATACCAAGTTTCCGTAGTGGAATGGTAATTTATTTTGCCTTTGAAATCATTGATTGTGGTGATGATAACCTTTAATAGTTTACTTTTGGTATAACTATGATTTCATTATGTGACCATCTGTGCAACAGTCAAGCATGCCAACCCATAAACTAAATTACACTATATTTCTTGCTATAAATTTTTATTTTCTAAATATGACATGAACAACAGAAGATTTGTAGCACTGGGAAAGTAGACTTCATGCTTCTCCAAACTTTTTTAGGCATGAAGTAGCTAGGATTTTTTTAATTTATAGGCACATTCCAAATTTGGTTAAAATAGGACAGCGGTAATGGGGACTTTACATGCAGACATTCACACATTTATATAATACATGCAAAAATTATCTTTTGGGAAATCCCCTTCCAAACACTCAGTTTAAAACAACATTATATTTTAATCTAAAACTTGTAATAAGCCAATCTTAGGGAAATAAAAAGATTGAATATCCAAAAGAGAATAGTGAGATTGAAACAAATGTTAAAAATATCAGACAATTATACAGACACAAATTTTATATCAGCTTAGAATATATTTAATAATGGGTGACATTGTTGGTTGCTTGCAAATTCTCATTGTATTGTAGGCAGGTGAGAAAAATCTCTATTGAGGTATTGAACATTTATGTAGCTATTGAATTTAGAATGTGTGAGATACTGCTAAACTGTTACTCTGAGAATAATTTCTGATGAAATATAATAATAATAATAATAATTTATTTACAGTCCATGGATCCATAAGACAGTCAGATGACAATAGGACGTGGAAAAAGTCATAATAATAAAAATAATAATAATACAATACATATTATAAAGTACAATTCGTACTATTATATAAATTTCACATAATGCAAAACAAAGTATTCACCCAGAGAAATGATAAGCTATAAATAGATCTACCCATTACACAAAAGAAAAATTTATCACTTATTTGTAAACAACATAAATTCATTGACACAGTAAAAGGACTGTGTAATTAAGTCTTTGCTATTGAATGAAGATGAGAGAAAAATATGGGCTGCAAGACTAACAATATATTTAGTATGATTTAAAATAAATTTTCTTCTAAACAGTCAGCTTGATGCAGAAGTTTTAATTTATGTTAAAAATGCAATAATGAAAAAATAGATTGAATGATTGAAAAAGTTTTGTGCCAGATAGTTTTGGTTTCATTGTGACAGTAATTGATGACTTATTGTTACTGCCATTTATCACATTATATCTATACTTAACAAAAAAACTGGGATGCAATGAGTGGCAGGCATAGATTTAAAAAGAAAATAATTTTCCTGAACATGTAAATTTTTATGTGGATTTAATGCGATATAAAAATTCAATTTTAGGTCCCATTCTCCAAATATGGCGGGAATGTCAAGTAATGCAACAGCTAATAGTGGGGTGAAGATTAATGACTCTTCATCATCTGCGAAACACTTGTCATCCCCAACTCCTCTTGCTTTCACGCCAACATCAGTACTGAGGAAGATGACTGCTGAGAAAGAGGCTGAGACTTCTGGTGGACCTGTTAATGCTGTGAGAAATGAGTCAAAGGCATCTGTTTCAGGTGACTGAAATTAGAGAATTGGTTACAGTTTACTGTTTACAATAAATGTGTAATAACATACATGTTGGAACTATGAACCTTTTGGTAATTTAGATATCAGGAAATGACACAAGGTGCATATACAATACGAACTTCTGATTCTTTCATTATAAGTGAACTTACAATTACTGATGGTTACATTATTTAATTTTCTTGTTCATGTATTGATTTGTGTCATCAAGACAAGTTTTGAATTCTTAATTTCTCATGAATTTAGAATCAATTAGTGATGGGTATTTCTCTTTCTTTGAAGTGATGTTATGTTTCCATTTATTGGATTCGTTGTAAGGAACCCATGGTGGTATGTTATTTCTGTAGATAATGAACACCCAGTTATCTGTATGCAGATTGACTATGCATGACTTTTTTCTTCATAAATATAGACATGTGTGAACTAGTCTTTTGACCACACCGTACTGTCCACTTTTAATTGGGAGGGGGGGGGGGCAAGATTGGTTTTGGGATGGTCTGCAGAAGATATGATCAAAGAGTACCCCTTTTTTTCCTTTCTTTCTTTAGTCAGTGTTGGTGATGCAGTGGTTAGGTTTATTTCATTGATTATGGTGGTGGAGATAGGGTATGCTGCAAATGTGCCTGGTCTTTTTTCAAATATTAGCATTTTACAGTCAGTTTTGTTACATCATACTGTGTATCGGATGAAAATTTTAGTTAACACCTGTGGATCCTAAGAAGGATGGCTGAAAATTATAAGAAAATTTTACTGACAGTGAATCAGGTTTGAGTTCCTTTAAAAATTTGATAATTGAGTATCCACAACAGAATTAGCCAAGGATTATGGAGCAGGAATTTAGTTATTTCATATATGAAATGATGCTACCAGGCTGACCTTCTCAGAACTCATGCTGATAATGGTGAAGAATGTCTACAAAGTGTTGCATGTGAAGTGGGTATCCAGTACAGGACAGGCAGTTCTGCCACAAAGCAAGAGGGAGAAGAGGGTGGGAAGAATGAGTTAAATTTGTTGCTGATATGAGGAGGAGTCTAGACAGTTCACAAAAACAACTGGTCATTAAAAATTGTTTCTCAGAATAAATATCAGTTGTGTAAAAAAAAGTAAAATAATTGGTAAAGCTCTGTGAATGCACGAAACAACATTTTGGATTATCTGTGTACTTTTATTGTTCATATGTCCTCTCCCCTTCATTAGCTTGGATAATTGGGAGAATACTGTATGTGAAAAGAAAGAGAACTCAGGTGAAATGCTGATACAAGTTAACCACACTGTTTATGTGCTGAATCTCCCATATGAGCAGGTACAGAATCAAAGACTGCATTTTTCCTCATCACCTTAACATATTTACATTTTTTCTATATATACTGTTGGTAAGAATGTAGACATATTTGTTTCTGTTTTATAATTACTTTGTTTGCAAAAATTTTCAGCTCCTAATGATCTAAAACCACAGCCTGCAGTTATCCAGACATCACAACGACAGTCAGCTTCTGGTCCGCATTTGAGGTCCCAACAGACAGCAGCCTTGCCGTGGAATGTAACAAAACAACACCCAGGTACTTACATAAAGTTGTACTCGCAATTATAAGAATCCTACTAAGTTTTAAAGACCTGCTTAAGATGGTACCTTCATGTTTTTTAGTAAACATAATATATTTTATGTGTTTTTCTGTTAGGGAGGCAGGGCTGGAGTAGGAGTATATTTGATGGATTGAAGTAGAAGGCTCCTTGTGGATCTCAGAGAGTGAAATGTCAGATAATAAGTACAGTGAAACCTCTATCCATCGTTCCCGGAACTATCGTTTTCCCGGATGCATCGTCCGTTTTGTTCGGTCCCGGATACATCCCATATAAAATAATGTTACATTTTCCCGCTTCTATCGTTCCTCGAACTATCGTTTTA